TTCAGGCCAAAGATAAATGAATACAATGTATGGAAGAGATTTAAGTTTTTGTGGCCTAAATTTGTTAAATAAAATGCACAAAGCTCTAAAAAAAAAAAGTGATCTGCTCACCTCATGAGCCAGAAAACAAGGAATGACAAGGAGCTAGTCTTACTAGTCTTTCAATTTCATTAACTGGTATTAGATTATTGTAAAATCTTTTGATTCAATTTTAGTAATTCGTAGTCTAGGAATATGGCCATTTCTTTTGAGTTTTCCATCTTATTAGAGTACAGGTTCTCAAGGTACTGATCTTCTGGATTTTTGCAGAATCTGTTGTGATTTCACCCTTTTCACTCCTAATTGCATGGATTTGAGGGTTGCTTTTTTTTTTTGGTACCGGGGATCAAACCTTGCCCTTGTGAGGCAGGCGTGGTGCCCCTGAGCTAAATCCCCAGCCCATCTTTCCTTCTTTTGATAATGTTAGCTAAGGGTTTGTCTATAAACATAAATTGTATTATATTCTCTTTGCTTTTCTTCTGTATGTGTTTTCTCTCATTTCTTTTTCATTTTATTTCTCCTACCTTTGATAACTTTTCTACTTTTGTTTCCTTTACCATACTTTCCAAAGTACTTATTTACTCTTATTCACTTCCAATTTTGCTTTCATTCTTTTAATTATTGTATTTTTTTCTTTGACTTCATGAGTAACCAGTATTTCATTTCCTGTTGTATCCTGTGTTTCTGCTTTTTGTTTTTCAGTCCTTAGTGAACTGTGTGTACAATTTTCATCTGCTTTGGTTTAGCATTTTTCTGGTGAATATTTTTCTTTTATTAATGTCTTATGGCATGCTTTTCTTTTAACTGTATGGACTTTTCTTAGATTCTGTGATTCTTACTCATCATTGAATAGGCTGGGTTTTCCTGAACCAGCTAATTGTGAAACATTATTATAGTGGAAAAAGGAATGTGACATTATTCCAAGATAGCTCTTTTCTTCCTCTCTCTTTCTTTTTTTTCTGATTTTTTTTGAGACTGAGTCTCCCTTCGTGGTTCAGGCTGGCCTTGAGCTCACTGTGTAATCCAGGCTGGGCTCAACTCTGGGGATCTTCCTGCCCCAGCCTCCTGAGTACTAGGATTACAGGCATATGCCATCACGCCCAGCTAAGATAGCTGTCTTATGTAAGTAAAGGTCTTTTATATAGCTGCCTTCAAAACAGACTGTCTACCTAAGGTCGGATCCTTCAAGTTTTATTTTCTGCTTACCATAGATTGCTTCATCTTGACTTATGTAAGATCAGCTCCTAGATCAATTTAAACCAAAATTTAAACATTTTAGGATGAGGCCATATTGTTTTTATGTTAGGAAATCTTCTTAGCAAACCCTTGAAGTTTGATTTGTATTCTTGCCCATTCCTCATTTGCGGGCCCCCCCCCCCATTTTTCAACTTAACTGTTGGGATAAGACAAATTAAAGAACTCCAGTTCCTTAATTGTCATATAAAACATGGTTTTTCACTAGGATAAGTTTGTAGTTGTCCAGGATTTTAGTTGTATCTATGTATTTATTGATTGATTTATTGAGACAGGGTCTCACTAAGTAGTTCAGGCTGTCCTTGAACTCACTATGTATCCCAGGTGATCTTCTTGTCTCAGCCTCCCAAGTGCTGGGATTACAGGCATGTGCCACCACACCCAGCAGTTATATCTCTTTTAAGTTAAGAACTTTTGTACCTGGGATATGATTTCTCTCGTATATCCCCATATAACAGATGTATGGAAAAAAATCAATTTTTCAAAATTTAGAATTAGAAGGAACATTATGGAGGCCTTTCAAACTCTTCATTTTATAAATAAGATAAGGCCAGATAGGTGATTTGACTTTCCCAAAAGAATAAAAAAACCCAACATTTAAAAATCCGTAGTCTTTCTATACAGCAATAATGAACTAGCTGAGGAAGAAATCAGGAAAATAATTCCATTTGGAATTCCTTTAAAAAAAAAACAACCTACAAATTAACCTAAGAAGGTGAAAGACTTCTACAGTGAAAATTACAAAACACTGAAGAAAGAATGTAAGAAGTCACTTGAAGATGAAAAGACGTCTAATGTATGAAACTAGATCTTTGTCTCTCACCCTATATATAGCTCAGTTCAAAATAAATCAGAGACCTAGATATAACATCAGAAATTTTGAAACTGCTAGGAAAAAACACATATGGGAAATACTTGAAGTCATAGGCATAGGCAAAGACGTCCTGAATAGGACTCAAATACTGCAGGAAATAATATCAACAATCAACAAGTAGGACTACATCAAATTAAAAAGTTTCTGCACAGTAAGAGAAACAACCAACAGAGTGAAGAGAAAGAATACAGAATGGGAGAAAAATCTTTGCTGGCCACTCTTCTAGCAGAAGATTTATATCTAGAATAGATAAAGAACTCAAAGAATTTAACACCAAGAAAACAAAGACCCCAATTTTATCAGTCAGTGCTCACCAGAGAAACAGATTTAATGCAAGATATATAAACATATAAGGATTTACACGGTAGGCTTACAATGGCTGCCCACGCTCAGGTGTGGAAGAGTGCAAAGGGGCTGTCAGTGTGCTGGAGAGCTGAAGAATCCTGCCAAAGGTTGAAGGCCTGGAGTTCACTGTAGTATCCTGTGCAAGTTCATATCAGGAGGCTGCAGGGTCTGCACTGGAAGCCAGGAGACAACCTCCAAGGTAAAGGTGAAGACTGGAGCTCCTCTGAAGAAACAGAAGTGAGCCTTCCTTGTTTGTTTCTCTTTTATTCCATTCAGCCTACAAGCCTGTTGGTTGGTACCATTCAAACCCACGGTGGTTCTTCTGTCCTCAGTAAATCCCTTCAGTCACACCCAGAATTATGCTGATCCAATTTAGTTGGACATTCCTTACTCAAGTTGACACAATCAGGTAACTATCACACCAATTAATAAATAGGCAAATAAGCTGAACAGACTTCTCAAAAGAAGTACAGGGGGCTGGGGATTTAGCTCAGTGGTTTCGCCACCTGCTGCGCAAGCGCAAGGACCTGAGTTCAATCCCCGGTACCAAAAAAAAAAAAGAAGTACAAATGGCCAGTACGTATATGAAAAATGCTCTACATCTTTAGCCACAAAGAAAATGCAAATCAAAACTACATTAAAAATTTTTGTTAGGGGCCGGAGATTTAGCTCAGCGGTTTTGCCCCCTGCTGCACAAGTGCAAGGACCCGAGTTCAATCCCCTGTACCAAAAAGAAAAAATTTTTGTTAGTATAAGATGATTACATTCATCCTGGGGAGTTGGTACATGTATATAACACATGTTAATTCTTTTTATTTCTCCTTCACTTTTTTTCCCCTCCACATAAGCTACAGTGAGAGTCTATCTTCCCCTAGTCAAAATGGCTCTCATCAAGAATTCAAAAAATATGGATGTGTGGAGGGGGTACAAATGATTTTTAAAAATACATATGCAAATTTGCCAAAATGAAACCTACTAATCTGTATAACCAATAAAACAAAATAAAAGCGATAAGCCAAAACAAAAAAAGAATAAAAAATAAATAAATGTTGGTGAATAAAAAAAAAAAAATGTTGAATGCCAGGGTAAAAAGAACCTTTCTATACTGCTGGTGGGAATGCAAATTAGTATAGCCACGATAGAAATCAGTATGGTTCTTCCTCAGAAAACTAGAAATAGAACTATCACGTACTAGAACTAGAAAAGTAGAAACAGGACTACCAGCTACACTGCTCTTTTACATACACATGAAGGAATTAAAGCCAGTATACTATAGGAATACCCAAATGCCTATGTTTATTGTGGCACAGTTCATAATAGCCAAGGTATGGAACCTGCCTAAGTGTCCATTAACTGAAGAATGGATGAAGAAAATGTGGTATAGCTTGGTGCAGTGGTGCATGCCATGTGTAATCCCAGCATTCAGGAGGCCGAGGCAGGAAGACTGCAAGTTTGAGGCCAGCCTGGGGTACATAGTGAGACGCTGTCCTAAAAAAAGAAAAAAAAAGAAAAAAAAAACTAGAAAAAAGAAAAAAACTTTTGTATATATGCATAATGGAGTATTCAGCCATAAAGAAGAATGAAATTGTTATTTACAGTTTAATAAATGGAACTGGTGATCATTGTGTTAAGTGAAATAAGAGACTCAGAAAGACAAGTACTGTATTATAAGGCAGTAATACAGTAAAACAAGGGGGGAAAAGTACAAGGGAGACTATTACTGCACAAGAGAAAGGGGATAAGGGAATGCAAGTTTTAGGGAGAGTAATGGGGGATGGATATGATCAAAATATGTTATGTGCATGAATGAAAATACCACCCTATCACTCAGTATTTTGTAAAAGTCTCTGTTCTTACCGTGGAAGCTACTTGAGGCTAAGAATCATGTGTTTGTATCCCAGGATATAGCATAGGGCCAGGTATTGTATTTTAAGTTATTGAAAGGGATAAAATAATGATTAGGACAGAGCACATTAAAAAAAATCACAACAGGTTTTAATGTGGTAGACTGATTTTGGCATTTTAAATAGTAATAGTAAATAGTGTAATAAAGAGGAAGTTGGAATCAAAATATTATCCTTATTTTTCCCCCAGTATCTTTGAACAGAGGGTGAACTTGGTGGTAGAACACTCAGCTAACATTCAGGAATTCATGAAACCCTGGGATCTGGTTTCCAACACTACCTCAAAAAATTTTTTTTCGGGCTGGGGATTTAGCTCAGCGGTTCCGAAGCCTGCCTTGCAAGCGCAAGGACCCGAGTTCGATCCCCAGTACCAAAAAAAAAAAATTTTTTTTTCTTTACTTATTTCAAAATATACTATAATACCAAAAGATTCTAGGGCCAGGGATTTAGCTCAGTGGTTCTGCCACCTGCCTCGCAAGTACAAGGTCCCAAGTTCGATCCCTGGTACAAAAAAAAAAATTTAATACCAAAAGATTCTAATTAAACTTTATATATTTTCATTCATCTTTATTTTTCTGTTTTAGGGTATTCCAGACAGAGTCTCATACGAAAACAGTGAGAAAGTCAGAAATAACAGGTAAATATATGTTACTGTAGTCCTTACTATTTTCTTTGAAATTTTACTATGACTATCTAATCAGGTAATTGATATAGCTTATTGTCTGGTTCTACCTCTTCCTGAGGCCTTTGTACTGAGCTATATCCCCAGCCCTTTTTAAAATTTTTTATTCTGAGGCAGATCTCTTTTTTTTTTTTTGGTACTGGGGATCGAACTCCGGTCCTTGGGCTTGCACAGCAGGCGGCAAAACCACTGAGCTAAATCCCTGGCCCCTGAGGCAGATCTTTTTAAGTCACTAAATGGCCCAGGCTGGGCTCAAACCTCCCAAAGTGCTGGGATAACCGGTGTGTGCTAATACACTCAGCCTTATTGTCTGTCTCATTGCTTAGAAAGTGTACCATGAAGCCAGGCATGGTGGCATGTATGTGTGACCCCAGCTACTCCAGAGGCTTAAGCAGGAGAATTTTGATTTTGAGGCCAGCCTGGGCAACAGAGCAAGATCTTTTCTCAAAACAAAAATCTTTAAGACATGGGGATATAAAGTAGGGTGAATAGTAAGTAATTTCTTTTTTTAAATTGTTAGTGTCTGTTTATGTTTTTTTTTAGTGCTTTATCAGAGTATCCTTGAAAAACTTAAATTTTTATTTTATTTTTAGAAACAGAAGCAGGAGAAAATGTTCTGTTTACCTGGTAAGTAAGGGACATGTTCAAATTATATTTAAAAAGTTTATCCCTAGGCCAGTGTGGTGATGCATGCCTGTGATGCCAGCACTTGGGAGGCTGAGGCAGGAGGATCTCTGTAAGTTCAAGGCCAGCCTTAGCTAAGGTGACACCTTGTATTGAAAAAAAGCAACAACAAAAAATTTTACTCCTAGTAAAAGAAGTTTAAATTTTTTTTTGTATTCTTATAGCCCTTTTTTCAAATACAATTAATTCAAAAAACAAATTCTTTGCAAAATGTAGTATAATTACTGCTCTATCTGATAAAGATGTATGTGCCTTATATAATTGTTTTAGTAGACTGCTGAAATACTCCACTTTCATATATAAATCCTTAAATTCATTAACAGATTTTTTTATTAAATAGTCTTTTTTGCTATAATATTAATATTAATTGAGTATCTGTTATTCAAAATACTTTGAACCAAAAGTGTTCAGATTTCACAGTTTTTCAGATTTTGGATATTTGCATAGATTTTATCATTTTATCCCTGATCCAAAAGTCTGAAATCCAAAATACTCCAAATGTAAACCTTTTTGAGTGTCGTATTTAAATAATTCTAAATTTGAGATTTGGAATGCTGAACCTCTACATAGAAAAGTAACTTTTAAGCAAATGAAAAGATGCTTACCTTTTTTTGTCATAAGACAAATACAAATTTAGACTATATTGAGTTGTTTGTGTATGTGGTACTAGGGATCAAACTCAGGACCTTGTGCTTGCTAGGCAGGTGTGGCACCCATATACTAAGATATTTTTTGTCAGTTAAGGATATACAAAAGAAGTTGCTCATTACTATTGGAGTATAAATTATAAAGGCAATTTGACAATATCATTCAGAACTTTTAAGTGCAGATGCCCTGACTCAGCAATTTCATCCTCAGACCTTTAGTTTTTAGTCTTGCTAAGTCTCTGAGTTGCCTAGACTAGGCTCAAACTTCCAGTACTCCTGCCTCAGCCTACCAGAGTGCTGGGATCACAGGCATAAATCACCATGCCCAACTTTCCCTACTTTATTTTTTTTTAAGTCTCTCCTGTGTTTTTTATCATCATCATCATCATCATCATCATCATCATCAGTATTATTATTTGGTACCAAGGATCAAACTCGGGACCTTGCGCTTGGGAGGCAGGCGGTGGAACCACTGAGCTAAATCCCCAGCTCTCCCTACTCTATTTTTTTAGACAGGGTCTTGCTATGTAGTTCAAGCTGGCCTTGAACTTACTATGTAGCCCAGGCTGGTTTCTATCTCTCTGCAATTCTGCCTCACCCTCCCAAGTACTGGAATTACAGGGGTGTGCCACCATGCCTGACTCCCTACTCTTTGAAATATTGCTATTCTAGGTAATTGTATGGGATAGAGATTATAAAAATGCCTTTTTGATTTTTTAGGGATAAGAATTCAGAAGATAATTATTGTGAGATTACTGGTGAGTATGATCAGAATGTTCTTATTGTACACCTTTCTCTTCATCTCTTGATAAGTAATGTGTATAGGACCCATGAAAAATAATTTAAATAAAGCTTTGTTCTTTATACAAAGTCCTCTATTTAAATTTTCACAAGCATGTTATGATTTCTGTCAAACCTGCTGTTCCTTTTGATTTTCTGTCTTGGATTTCCACTCAGTCATTCATTCAAGTCAGGAATTGAGGAATTATTTTGAACTCTTCTTTTGTTCCTCATATTTATTAGCTTCCACTTTCTGTATATTCTGTCTTCTAAACATCTTGCAAATTGCTTATCTCTTATTTTTCTGCCATTGCTTTAATTCAGGTCTTCATTATTTTTCTCTTGGGCTATTATATTTATTTCTTATCTTTCTAATCCATTCTTCATATTTCTAAATTTGATTACATTACCTCCCTGTTTAAAATGGCTCAATGACCCTTTCTTGCTGACAAGGGAAAGTCCACACTCTTTAGCACTGACTTAGGAAAGTCCTTTATAATTTGTGCTGTCTTTTTCTCCAATCTTATCTCCTGCTTTTTAGAGGTATCCTGTGCTCTAGCCCATGATAAATTATTGGCAATTTCCCATATGGACTTTTTCTCCCTGTATGCATTAGAAATGCTATTTTCTCTATCCAAAGTGCTATTCCTACTCTAATTTGCCTGTCAGTCTTCATTTTTTTCACTTCACTTAACTTCAGTGCTACTCAAAGTAGCCGATCTACAAAGTATTCCAGTCCTTGACAGAAAAGGAACTTCTATCATAATGTAAATTAAGTGTGGTGCAAATTTAACTGTTGAATTCAACTGACATTTTTTTCTTAGCAAGGGTTTCTTCCTTTGTTTTGTTTTGTTTTTTGTTTTTTTGGTACTGGGGATTGAACTCAGGACCTTGCGCTTGCGAGGCAACCACTGGCCCGCTTAGCAAGGCTTTCTTGATGAAGGAATTATTACATGATTTACATTTGCTGAAGATTCCTTATCTAATTATCATGAATTGATAACAAACAGTTCCAGATGGACACCACCCTCCAAGTAACTCTTGTCTTTTTTTGGGGGGGGGGCATTAGAGATCAAACTCGGTCCTTGAATTTGTGAGGCACTGAGCTAAATCCCCGGCCCATAACTCTGTCTTAAATGGAGCCCTCTTTAGCAAAATCTTGGAGTTAGCCACTGTGTTACATGGTTACCCAATACCCCATTTATTTTTCAGTCTACTTTAGAATTTATCACTTTGAATTTTAGGTGTTTACTTTGGTTCTTTTATTAAACTATGAGCTCTTGAGTCCAAAAATTTTGTCTTGGTCATCTTTGTACCTTATACACATTTGGAAATTTTTTGTACATGATAACCCTGAATCAGTGCTTGCTAAATAAATGGAAGCCTGGTATAAATTAGGCTTTTACTAAAAGTCTCAGGCTGAGGCAGGAAGGTTGCTGTGCATTTAAGACCAGCCTGAGCTACAGAGTGAGCTCCAGGCCAGCCTGTACTACAAAGCAAGACCCTGTCTCAAAATAAAGTCTTATAATTATATTTCATCATATGTATTAAAGTTTACCATATAGTTACATGATGTGTAAATTTTTTTTTTCTTTTTAGTACGGGGAATCAAACTTGAGACCTTGTGCTTGCAAGGCAGGCAGCTTGCAAACCACTGATCTAAATCCACAGGTGGGCCAGGGATTTAGCTCAGCGGTTTTGCTACCTGCTGTGCAAGCACAAGGACCTGAGTTCGATCCCTGGTACCAAAAATTCAATCAATCAATCAATCCGCAAGTGGCTGGAGAACCACTGAGCTAAATCCGCAGCCCCTTTTCTGTTTTTGTATAGCATCTTCAATCCCTTCCTTATTTCCAAAGTCCAGTTTGTTAATTAAACCTTTATGTTACTTTTTTTTTTTTTGGAGATAGGGTCTTGCTTCTAGTTCAGGCTGCCCTTGAACTCACTATGTAGCCGAGGCTGGCCTTGAACTGTCAGTGATCCTCCTGCCTCAGCCTTCCAAGCACTGAGAGTGACAGGGGTGGAACACCACACCTGGGTTTCAATTTTAAAATATCTTCAGTGTATAGGGCCGGTATTCAGCTCAGTGGTTCTGGTGCCTGATGCCCAAGGTCCTGAGTTTGATCCCAGGTACCCTCCCCCCAAAAATCTTCAGTCTAATTCTTTTGTGTTGTTGTTTGTTTCTTGCCCTAACATAACTTCTTACCATGTTATACCTGAACTATTGTAGTAGCTACTTTATTGGTTCATCTTCTCTTCAATCTATTTTCTTTTCCTAATTATATATTTATTACTTTTCTAAAATGCATATTTTAGCTGGGATGTAGCTCAGCAGTGCTGCACCTGCCTGGCAAGCACAAGGTCCTGAGTTCTATCCCCAGTACCAAAAAAAAAAATGTATATTTTATAAAATGCATTATATCTTATAATGGACTTACTCTTATAAAATGCATGTTTCATTATAGGAACATCTCTATTCCTTAACATAGCATAAAAGATCCTTTAAAAATTTTATCCTAATCTTTCAGTCTCATCACTTAGTATTCTTCATTATGTACCTCAGCTATCTGGGAAGTAAAACTATAGAATATGATAAAGTGTAATAAGTAAAATATAATTAGTAGTCTAAATTTCCCACTTTTAAAATTATCAGCACATTCTAAAAATATTTTATTCACACAGAAGATACAATAATCATCAGTCTTCTGTCTGTCTGTCTGTCTGTCTGTCTGTATTTATTTATTTATTTATATTTTGGTACCAGGGATTGAACTCGGGTCCTTGCGGTTGTGCAGCAGGCAACGAAACCACTGAGCTAAATCCCTGGCCCAGTCTTCTGTCTTTAAAAGAAGTTGGGGGGGGGCAGGGATTTAGCTCAATGGTTTCGCCGCCTGCAAGTGCAAGGACCCGAGTTCGATCCCCGGTACCAATAAAAAAAACAAACCAAAAAGAAGTTAGGGGCTGGGGGAGGTAGCTCAGTGATAGAGTGCTTGCAAGGCCCTGGGTTCAGTCCCCAGCACACCCCCACCACAATCTTTTTTTTTGGTACCGGGGATTATACTCAAGACTTGCGCTTGCCAGGCAGGTGAGGCACCACTGTGCTACATCCCTGGCCCTAAAATTCTTCTTCTTATTATTATTTTTGGTATTGGTGATTGAATTCGGGACCTTGTGCTTTCGAGGCAGGCGGCAGAACCACTGAGCTAAATCCCTGGCCCTAAAATTCTTAATGAAATTTAATTCACAAGTCCTTATGAAGAACTTAGTGACTGGTAAATACAGTGCTTTTAACTGATAAAGAAACTAAGAAATGGAAAATCAGGTTCTTGGTGATACAAATTTTTTTGTGCCTATAATTTTTTCTTTTTTCTCAATAGCGATGAATACATTGCTTTGTGCTCCCATTCAGACCCAGATACAGGAAAGAGAGGTATGAGTTCACGCAAGTACCTTTATTTTTAAATCTCTATACTTTAAAACTTTAAAAATACCAAAAAAGTAATTTAAATTTAAAAGTAATTTTAATTTAAAAATACCAAAATGAATCAGCATAGATTGGAAAAACTTTCTACCGTCCCAGCTAACTAAGGATAGTTAAATCACTGCCAGTTTAAATAATAGGGAGATATATTATACCAGGAATTCTAAAACTTTAACGAACATATGAGTTATCTCGGGATTTTATTAAAATATAGATTCATTGAAAGCCAATTAAATCTCTCCTCCTTTAAAATAATAGTTTGATTGATTCACATCCAGTAGATAAGGGGTAGATTGTGAGAATCTGTATTTGTAACAGTCTAATTAATATTAGTGTGTAGGTCCACAGACCATACTTTAAGTAACAAGGAGTTGTACTGTGTCTTTACACATAAAATGACCAGAACCCAGAGTGTAATATAAATTAACTATCATGCACCTGTGCCATTCCAAGACGTTTTTTTTAGGATGAGAATGACCTATCCAATATAGAATCTTCATTATGGTTACATTTGATATTTTCAGAGTTTTTCTTTTTTCCCTTTTTTTTTTTCATTTTCAAGTCATTCTAGAGGGTAAACAACCTTGAATTTTTAATTTGTTCCCAAACACTAAAAAGTAAATTATAAGCCAGTGTTGTGCACGCCTGTAATCCCAGTACTCAGGAGGCTGAGGCAGGAGGATTGCTATGAATTCAAGGCCAGCCTGGGCTACATAATGAGTTTGAGGCCAGCCTAAACTACATAGCAAGACCCTGTCTTAAAAAACAAAAAAAAGTAAATTATCCACCCTTTACAGAAAATTTTGTTTGTTTGTTTGTTTTTTGGTACTGGGGATTGAACTCTGGACCTTGTGCTTTCGAGGCAGGCGCTGGAACCACTGAGCTAAATCCCCGGGCCTTTACAGAAAAATTTTAAACAAATTACATACAATATGCCACAACCTTGACTCATCACTGAGAACTGTTTAAATAATAATATCGTGAAATATTTTTTAAAAATTTACATTTGATCTAATGTCTTATGTTTTCTTTCTCAATAGTTTTCAAGTATAGAACACAACCATGAAGGGAAACATGCAAATGATCAGACAGTCATCTTTTCAGCTGAAAACCAGATGGATCTGACAGCAAGTCATACTGTGTTGATTACCAAAGACCTTTCAGATTGTTCCAAAAATGAAAAATCCACTAAGATAGATACCACATCCTTTCTGGCTAACTTAAAGCGCCACACTGAGGATTCAAGAATGAAAAAAGAATTAAAATTTTCCACGGATCAAAACACTTCAGAAAAGAAAATAAATTCTAATGACTTCATAAAAAGATTGAAAACAGGGAAGTATAATGCTTCTCCTTTTACAGGGGGTAATAAAGAAAATTCTGAAATTCCCATTTATTCCAAGGAATCAAATAATGTCCCTTTCATCCATCAAATATGTACATCTCTTAATGTAGATGAGAAAAGTAGTAATGTGACTAGAATCTTTAGAGGACAAGATGATGGAATGAATTTCACCCAGTGTCACACAGCCAATATTCAGACTTTGGTTCCCACAACCACTGAGGCCAACTTAAGGGAATTTAAAAGTGACATTACAATTTATGGCAATGACTGTATGGACTTGACAATTAACCACACATTACAGGTTTTACCCTCTGCAGATACAGACAAAGAAAATCAAACTCAGACTGTCATGGATATTGCAACAGATAATGGAACTAAAGCTCTAGGGAAGAACACAATCTTTAAGAATAACTTAAATGTTGCTTTTCCAGACCCTTCCTTAAACCCTGAAGATAAAGTACATATAACCAGAAATCATATTAGAGAGTCAGAAACTTGCGCAATCACTCAGACTTCTGATCGAGATGCCAGAACATTGTCAGTGACCCAAGGATCTATTTGTTATAGTCCACTTATTCAAGGTAATAAGACAGTTTTTTACTCTACTTGTAATGATGCCATGGAACTCACCAAGTGTCTCTCAAGTGTGAAAGGGGAGACAACTTTGCTAAAGCATGATAATAATTATTTAAAAGTATGTCCCAATCCAGATGCCATCCCTTGTCTCATAGAGAAAACTGTTTACTCAGGAGAAGACAGCATGGACATTACCAAGAGTCACACAGTTACAATAGACAATCAAATTTTTAAACAAAATCAACCAGATGTACAGATAGCAGCCTCACCAATATCTGAAAAGGAAATGATGCTCCAAAATTACACAACTGGATCAGAAGATAGAAAAATGAATGTAAATTATAGCTTAGTTCCTGGTGTACCTAAGGGAATATTACAGTGGAGCCTGCCCTATCATGATGAAGATTCTCCTCCATCAGCTGTTTATAATGAGGACATAGCAACAAACCACAATATAGTATATTCTGGGGCAGTTCTTGATAAACAAGCACCACTAAGAAATAATAGAAATACAATTTCAAGTGAGAACTTGACAATTAACCACACATTACAAGTTTTACCCTCTGCAGATAATTCATCTGAAACAGAAAATCAAACTCAGACTGTAATGAATATTGCAGCAGATTATGGAATTAAAGCTCTAGGAAAGAACACAATCTTTAAGAATACATTTTCTAACTCAGAGCCATTATTTTCATCAGAAAGACAGTCTGACATGAAGAATTATAATATTGCTGTAAACAGTCATATAGTGAAATCAGTACTAGGCCAGAATTCTATACTTTCTGAGCCACTGAGGAAAAGTTTAGGTGATCCTACACATGACCGTTCTCATGATAAGTTGAGTATTTTTTCAGAGGAGGAGCAAGCTATGGATCTAACTAAGAGTCACACTGTTGTCATTGGATTTGGTCCTGCTGAACTACAGGAAATTAGTAATACTAATGTAGAACCCAGAACCACCCAGCTCCCAAGAGAAAGCATACAGACAGCTGTAAAAGTGGAAAAATGTGATGAAAGTCCTGTACAGAAAACTGAAGTATTTATGTGTAATGATAAGGACATGTTAGAAGACAAAGATATACAGAAACCTGTATTCCTAAAAGAAAAACAAAATGTCAAAAATTGTGGAAGGAAAAGTGTTGGTGCAGTAAAAATTGATAAGACTATGGTATTTTTAGAGGATGATGAGAATGATATGGATATCACTAAGAGTTACACAGTGGAAATAAACCATAAACCTTTATTAGATAAACCTGACTCTCATCTGGTACCTTTGGCAGGAACTTCTAAATCTATTTTGTATGCATGTTGGCAGGATGATATGGAGATCACTAGAAGTCACACAACTGCTTTAGAATGCAAACCTATCTCACCAGATGAAATAACCTCTAGGCCTATGGACAAAACTTTAATATTTGTAAATAATCATGATGAACTAGAAATGACCAAGTCCCATACTGTTTTCATTGACTTCCAAGCAGAAGAGAAAACCATACTTCCGGATAGAACTACCTCTGAACAATCCAGAAGGAAAAGCTTACAAAACCCAAAAGCGACATCTGGTGAGGAGAATGTATTCTTTTCTGAAAATGACCGCCCAGCACCAATAGGTGAACAGGTAACAGTGCTAGAGGAATTGTCTAATATAGGCCCTACAGAGAAAGCTATAGCACCTATATCTGATGAGAACATGGACATGTCTAAATTAACCACTTGGAAAAATGTTGAAGATATACAAAAGCCTGGATCTGTGAATGAACCTCTATCAGTCAAAAGTCAGAGAAGAAAAAGCCTTAGGCTCAAAAATGACAAGGCCATTGCATTTTCAGAGAATGATAAAAATGACATGGATATCACCCAGAGCTGTATGGAGGGAACAAATAGCAAAAGTGCTCTTGAAGAGAGGGAGGACTTCAGTGTGGTACCTTTGACTGGAATCTCTAAAACTGTTTTATATGCCTGTGGGCAGGATGACATGGAGATCACCAGAAGTCATACGATTGCCTCAGCATATAAAACTGTGTCACTAGACAAAGTAACTATTCGGCCTATGGATAAAACTGTAATGTTTGTAGACAATAATGATTTGGAAGTCACCAAGTCCCAAACTGTTTTCATTGATTGTCAGGCCACAGAGAAAATACTTAAAGAATATCCTAAATTTGGAGTAACAAGAGAAAATAATCTGAGTGTTCATTTTCCTAAGGATGATAGCTATGTTGAAGAAATCACTAAAAACCAAGCACTGGCTGTAGAAAACAAAGTTGTTCTTCAACCTGAGCCAAAGGATCATATGATACCTCTTGTTCTTACTAATACATTCTCTAGGCATCAAAGTGAAATGGAAATAATCAAATTCCATGAGGTTGTTACAGATGAAAAGGTCATGGAAAAAGTTGTAGACCAGGTTTATACATTGGAAACAGGGAGAAATGAAAGCTGTCGCTTAAATAGTGCAGATACAAAAAATGTAGATTTTGCAGGTAGTGTAGCTGCTATTTGTGGATCCAGTGATAATTCTTCTTCTTCACCAGATGTTATTTCTCCTTTTGATAATTTGGAGAATAATGTCATATCATTATGTGATAAAGATAAAGCCAGTAAGTGCCTAGTGCAAAATGATCTTGCTTTTGCAGATAATTTAGCCAGTGAATACTTTGCCCCTTGTCCTTTGTTAGAGAAGGAAGAAGTTACTCCAACTGATTCCAAAGGACAGATAGACTGTGCTGTAACACTGCTCAAAGATCAAGATCTGCAAAAAGAGCCTCAAAACTTAGTTAGTCAAACTGTAGTACATAATCAAAACTTGGGGGAAATGACTAAACTTAATTCAAAGCGGGTATCTTTTAAGCTCCCAAAGGATCAAATGGAGGCCTTTGCTGATATATTTGTTACTTCTCAGCCTTATGTCTCAACCCAGCAACCTCTGTTAACCCAAAAAGGACAGAGTGTCAATGAAGATGAGTCAAAACTGTCTAACACTGAAAATAAGAGTTTAAATATTGTTACAGAAAAATTCTCTGTACCCACGTGTTCAGACAAATCCAAAATGCTCAATAATGAGAAACAGTGTGCTATAGTCTGTAAAAAAGAACTAAAGGAAAATATTCAGCCAGCTAAATGTAATACAGTTATAGATAACAACAGTAACACAGGCTTGACTACCCAAGTGGTTCAAGCCAATACCAATGCTAGAGAAGCAGGTCCCATACTTGCATCTAATGTTCCATGTTGTAGTAATATCAAGCTGAGTCTGAATAATTTGAATGGAAAACCTGGAGAGTTAGATTTTCAAACTGCTTACATACTACCTTCGGAAGAATTACTCAAATTAGAAAACAAGGCACTCAATAATATGACTATTGTACAATCTACAGAACTAGATAATATTAACATAACATCCAGTGATGCTAAACATAACAAAGTTAAAGAAAATAAAAATTCTCATAATGGAGATGAAACTACCTCTGCACCATTAAAGACAGTTAAAGATAAAACGAGATGTTCTTTGGGAATCTTTTTGCCCAGATTGCCAAACAAGAGAAATTGTAGTGTTACTGGTATTGATGACCTAGAGCAGATTCCAGTAGATACAACTGCTCTAAGTCACTCAGAAACTCAACCAGTCTCCAGCAAAGATTCAGGAATTGGATCTGTTGCAGCTAAACTGAATTTAAGTCCATCTCAGTATATAAATGAGGAAAATCTTCCCATATATTCTGGTGAGATTAATTCCTCAGACTCGATTAGCATAGAAATTGAGGGAAAGGCTTTGATTGAGAAATATCAAGAAGAGATTTCACCATCTGAAGACAAAATGGAAGAAACGAGCAATAGCCAAAAAAGAACCTGGGTACAAGAAGAAGATGATGTTGAAAATGAGAAAAAAATCAGAAAATATGAGATTAAGCTTGAGGATTCTACACAACATCAGGAGGTGAGCTCTGTTTTGTACCAAGGAATGTTCTTCAATTTTTTTTTTAAACTTGTGGATATCCTTGAATTTTAGTCTTAAGTATGTAGAAATTAATTATTTCCACTTACAAGGCTACAGAAACATTCCTATATGCAAACTTCAGGAAATAATTTACTGACAACTAGACTTTAAAATAACTTATACTGACAAGTAACCACAAAAAATGGAAAGTATTACAAAAATTATCCAGTGTTAACTGTGTGTGCTGGCGAGGGCCTGTACTTCTAGCTATTTGGGAGGCTGAAGCAAAAGAATCAAGAGATGGAGGCCAGTCTGGACAATTTAGGGAGACCCTGTCTCAAAATAAAATAAGGGCTAGAGAGGTAGCTCAGCATTCCCTAGGTTTAGTCCCCAGAGCTGCCAAAAATACTAGATAAGCAAGACATGGTGCATACCTGTCATCCCGGAAGTCTGGCAGGCTGAGGCAGGCGATTGGAAGTTCCAGCCCAGCCTGGGTTAATTTAACAACTTGGCAAAACCCTGTCTCAAAAAAAAAAAAAAAGATGATGACACTCAGTGCAAAGGCCTTGGGTTCAATCCCTAATACTGCAAAGAAAACAAAAAATGTTGAAATTGTGTAATTCTCAACTTCTGTCACCTCTGGTGAGTTGTCAGTATTGCTTTGCATATGACAATCTCTTGGGGTATATGTAGTTTGAAAAGTAATCTTCAGTGTTAGAAATATTTGGAGAATTTAAAGCTTTTTTTTCCTAATATGGAATGCTTTACGAATTTACATCTTTGTGTAAGGGCCGTCCTAATCTCTGTATTGTTCCAATTTTAGTATATGTGCTACCAAAGCAAGCATTAGAAAGTTTTTCTATTATGTAAATTACACAAAAGAAAAGTTTAGCTGAGTGGTGGTACACACCTGTAATACTAGCACTTGGGAGGCTGAGGCAGGAGGATTACAAGTTCTAGGCCAGTGGTGGCAAACCTGTGGAACGTGTGCTGCAGCTGGCTGTTTGTATCATTGAAAGCTCTAAAAGGTCATCGCTGTTCTAGGCCAGCCTGAACAACTTAGTGAGACACTGCGTCCAGATAAAAAGGGCTGGGGGATGTAGTTGAGTGTGAAGGCCATGGGTTCAATCCCCAAAAAGTAAAGCTTGCCCAAGTTTTCTTGGCTAATGAAGATACTTAGAAACTGAGAGTTCATTTGCTAGTGTATGGGAGAATGCCTAGGTCAAGCTCAGCATCTCAAAGTGAAGTAAGATTTTGTATTATTGAAAGAGGACAGATTTCTTTTAATTTTTGTTTTTTAAGTTGAGAGACATTGGTTTGGATAACTTTGCAGAGAATAAAACCTGTCACAAACCAAGGTTTTTTATGGGTGGGGAAATAAAGATTTGTGGAATACATACAAAGTTTAAATTCTTTACAGAACCACATAAATAAACAGAATGATTTCAGTGCTGGCTTGAGATGAGGTCATCAAGCATGGTAGCCCACACCTATAAACCCAGCAATTGGGAGGCTAAGGCTGGAGAATTATGAAGGCCACCATAGTGAGACTCTGTCTCAAGAGGAATCAACCCTCCCCTGCAAAAAAAAAAAAAAAACCCAAACAAAAATAGATGAGATCATGAGGAAGTAGTCATGAAGCTTTTAAAAAGTGGTACCTGTAGAGCCAGGGATTTAGCTCAGTGGTTCCACCACCTGCCTCGAAAGTTCAATCTCCGGTTCCAAAAAAAAACTAGTACAACTGATTAGATTTTATGAACATTGGTATTTCTTGTCCAATAAATATTTATTGAGTATCTCATATCCTAGGCACTGTTTTAGATGCTGGGATTGCATGAGTGGGACTGTACTAACAAAAAAGTTTTTCATGGAGCTTGCATTCTAGCTTTTAGAAAAAATATATTCAAAAAATATGTAAAGGGGAAAAAAAAAAATATGTAAAGGGCTAAGAATGTAGTTCACCGGTAGAGCACTTGGCTGGCATAGATGAGATAATGGGTTCAATCCCCAGCACCACAAAAAAGTAAATAAGTAGTTAGATAAAGATGATTTTTTAAAAAAAATTTTATTTTTTGAGAGGGTTGCTCTGGGTAGTTCAGTCTGGCCTTGCACTCACTATGTAGCCCAGGCTGGCTGCTAACTCATAAAGATCCTCCTGCCTCAGCCTCCTGAGTGCTGAGATTACAGGTGTGCACCACACTATCCGGCTCCGAAGATAATATTTAAAGCTGTAAAGTCAAATGATTAAAATGGTAAAAAGCAAGGCTACATCATTATTTGATTTTAGCCCCAGGAGTCCTGGTCAGCTGGGGTGGCAAGTACAAAAGCCCAGAAATAAGTTTCATTTCTGTACACTAGGCAGGGCCACCATGTATACTCAACATTGTAGTCTGGTTTTCTGTGATGAAGTAGCCCAGTTGTTGGTGGCTAGTAGTTGAATAATTGGGTAAGTCAACATTTCATTGAGTATAGAACCTGGCTATAACTTAGATATAGCTAAGGAACAGTTTGCTTGTACACATTAATGGATAAAATTATATATTTTTATGTATGTATGTTTTGGTGTTTTGAGATAGAGTCTCACTATGTAGTCTAGGCTGGCTCTGAACTCACTATGTAGCCCAGGCTGGCCTTGAACTCAAGGCAGTCCTCTTGCCTCAGCCTTCCAAGTGCTGAGATGACAATGGTACGCCCTGCCATGCCTGGCTAAAATTATGTATCTTCAATAATATTACTTTTAACTCTAATTAAAAACCAAAGTTGTGATACTCTAATTTTTTATGAAGGTATTTCATGAGAGTTATAGATAAATTTTATGTTTGAAGTATTATGTTAGTGTTCAACAAACATTTTAGTTGTTTATACTATATCATAACTATTCTGATGATTTTTCTTAATTCATAATTTCAGATTTTTGATCACCATACTGAAGGGAATATAGATAAAAATGCTAACAGTGTCTTGATAAAAAGACTGAGCAGGACTCCGTCTAGTTCCAGCAGCTCTCTGGATTCAGTCAAGGCTGATGGGACCTCTCTGGACTTTAGCAGTAAGATCTTCATGAAGGCTGAATAACAGCTATTGTCTACATTTTTTTTTTTTTGGTTAATCTGCATTGTTGACTAATAAATAATAAATGTTTCAGGTTAGGAAATACTTGAACATAGTTTAAACCTTTTCAAGGTTATAAAGAGTTAATAAGTAGGGCCGGGGATTTAGCTCAGTGGTTTTGCTGCCTGCTGCACAAGCACAAGGACCCAAGTTCGATCCCCGGTACCAAAAAAAAAAAAAAAAGTTAATAAGTAAAAAAATAATTTATTTTAATTCTTATTTAATAAATTGAGAAGTGATATAGTATAAAGGAATATAGTTACTTCAGAATCTGAATGGAGCCTTAAAATTGTGATATATTTTGCCATACTTAATGATTTTCTTCCTAGAACCATCCAGTAGGTAGATTCTAGATTGTGAACAATGCATAAATCTGAAAGATAACAAAAATTATATTTACAATTTAATTTTGACTTAATTATCACATTAATTTGCTTTATTTCTAGTGTACCGGAATAGTCAAATGGAATCCCAGTTTCTTGGACACACTATTTGTGAAGAGAGCTTGAGGGAGGTATGTTTAAAGTACTTTTTAGGACGGGAATTTAGTTCAGTGGCACCATGCCTGCCTCAGAAGCACAAGGTCCTGAGTTTGATCCCTGGTACCAAAAAAAAGAAAAAAGTGCTTTTTATTTCTAATGGACTAATTTTCTTGTTTTTTAAAAATATTTTTTTTAAAAAGTGGGCATGGTGGTGAATGCTAGTAATTCCAGCACTTTGGGAGGCTGAATCAGAAAGATTACAAGTTTGAGCCCAGCCTGGACAATTTAGTGACTTTAGTCTGTCTCAAAATAAAAGTAATGCTAAGTATGGTGGCACATACCTGTAATCCCGGCAGTCAGGAGGCTGAGGCAGGAGGATTGGTGCAAATTTGAGGCTAGCCTGAACTACACACCGAGACCTGTCTCAAAAAATAAAATAAAATAAAAATTTAAAAGGCTGGCAATATAGCTCCAAGGCTTGGTTCCAGTCTCCAGTACCACACATGAAAAAAATTTTTCAGGGTCTTGCCATGTAGCTCAGATTGGCCTTAAACTCACAGTGTACCCCAAGCTGGCCTCGAACTCATCTACCTCAGCCTCCTGAGTGCTGGGATTTCAGAGATTCACCACCACACATGGCAAAATTTTTTTTAAATTATGAAATATTTCAAACATACAGATTATTTTCTTTGTTAAGGAATCAACAATTATATGAAGTAAAAGTTTAGTCCACTTTCTGTTGCTGTAATCAAATACTGCAGACTAAGTAATTTATAGAAAGTAGAAGTTTATAAAAAAAATATTGAGGTTTATTCAGGTGGTGGTTCTGGAGGCTGAGAAGTCCCTCAGCATGGCACTGGCATCAGCTCAGCTTCTGGTGGGGCCTCCTCGCTGAGGGCGAGTCTGCAGTGGTAAGATAGAGCAAGCTTGCTCACCTGGGTCTCTCTCTTCAGAAGACTGTAATCTGAGGGAGCCCACCTCATGACCTCATCTAATCCTACTTACCCCCCAAAGACTTCGAGGATTAAGTTTCAGCATGAATTTTTGAGGGGACAATACCCAGACTATTGTAAGTAGAAATGAAGAAGAAATGTGCTTTGGCTTTTGTGAACTGTTATCATTGAATAACCTTAAGAAATAATCTTAAATACAATCTACTCATGTATAGTTTGCTTATAACTGAATATTTGCAGAAATATATGCAAAGTAGTTTAAGTTCCTTAGAAACAAATAAGGTTGTTAGAGAAAAGTGAGCTCCCCTCTGATGTCCATGCAAACTTTTTTTTTCTTTTCTCAGAAACTCAAGGATGGGAGAATAACAGTAAGAGAGTTCTTTATACTTCTTCAGGTTCACATCTTGATACAGAAACCCCGGGAAAGTAGTCTCCCAGCCAAAGTAAGTGCAATTTCTTGGCAAATAGTTACCTGAATTAAAATATATTGTACTCTTCTTCTTCTTTTTTTTTTTTTTTGTTTATTTGAGACAGTCTCACTATGTAGTTCAGGCTGGCCTTGAACTCACTGTGATCTCCTGCCTCAGCCTCCCAACTGCTAGGATTACCAGCATGTGCCACCACGCCTGGCTGTACTCTTATACTAAACTGGATTGAAGCAACCATCTATTAAAAAAAAAAAAAAAAAAAGGGAAAGGAAGTAATTTTCCTCCTGGAGAATCCTGCAATTAGGTTCCAGTATTCTGCCCAGTATACGACGCAGGCCTGAGAAAATAGACTAAGAGAACTAAGAGAGAGAAAGTGGGGTGCCAGAACAACCAATGCTGATGCAAAGGACAAAGGCGCTGGCCAGCCCAAGCCACTGATTTTTATTAGTAATCAGTTGGGGTAAAGGCAAGCTACATGCAAGGGCTACATGTGTTTTTTATGAAAATTAATGTAAACAAGGTTCATAAAGGACAAGACAAAAAAGCATTCTCGAATTAGGAACAGAATAGACAAAATATATGGTTTTAATTAGAACATTGTCCTTCTAGTCAGAAGGTTTTAGTTGTGGGAATGGAATTCGGGTGTGAGTTACTCTGACCTCAGCACATAGGCTTCAGCCAGACTACTTCTATAAACAAGCCAGTTGTGAGGTTAACTCTTCATAGCCTACTTTGAGCATAATCGATATTATGGTCCCCTGCATTTTCCTATAGAAAATTTCCCTTTAATAAGAAATGCAGAGGAGGTAAGCCACTCCAGCTGCCATAGCACCGCCCCTGAGTGCAGAGGAGCAGAGCTCCCTCCAGCGCTAAGGAGATAGCATGCACACACACACACACACCACACCACCCCCACCCCTGCGGCTGATAGATTAATATCTACCACAAATTGTCATTTTCTAAGCTGTGCTTGATGCTATTGTCACTGCTGATTGTATCACTTGGGCTAAGGTGTTGTGATTTATCTAATCATTTGTCCTTCCTGATATACTGAAAACGAGATTGCCTAAGAGTCATTAGAGACTCAAAACCTAAAGACCAACTATATCTGGAAGACATCTCTGAGAAGCAATCATTCTGTAAGGGTTCTAAATACAAGCAACAAAGATACTTACAATAAGCAATATTGAAGTATCAACCCAGGAATTAAACCAGAAACAGTACCAACAACAAAAATAGAAGTGAGACAACACCTAAGCAAGGTGCAAACCCAGACTTCCAGCTCGCCATAGGCAAATTCTGGGGGAAATGACGTGGAAAAATCTGATAATCAACCACCTGGACACCTTGAACTGATAGCACAGGAAGTGACAAAACATGAATGAGGCTCTAGAAAAATTCAAAAAAGAATTAATTTCTCAGATAACTACAGAGATGGTGAACAGAATGAAAGACATAATTAGAGACTCTAGAACAGAAACAGATAAAAAAAATAGATGAGCTCAAGACCATGATGGAAACCATGAATGCCCAGCATAGGAAAGAAATGGAATCCATGAAACAGATTCAAACAGATATCCAGGAGATTAAAAACTATTGAAAGCATTCGCTGCAGAATGAACCAATGTGAAAACAGTATTTCAGATATAGAAGACAGAATTGCTGTCAGTGCATGAAAAGAGAGATCTCTTAAAAATAGTAAGGGACCATGAGAAATCAATCCAGCAGCTCCTAGATGACTCAAGAATAATATAAGACTGATAGCAATACACGAGAAAGCAGGAGAAAGTACAAATGACATAAAAAAAAGTTCACAGAGTTAATGACAGAAAATTTCCCAAACAGAGCAAAAGAATTTGACATACAGATAAATGAGGCATATAGGACTCCAACTAGCCATGTAAAAAAAGTCTACAGGGCCGGAGATTTAGCTCAGTGGTTTCGCTGCCTGCTGTACAAGGGCAAGGACCTGAGTTCGATCCCCGGTACCAAAAAAAAGTCTACACCTAGACCTATAATAACCAAGATCCCGGAAACCCAAAAGAAGAACAAAATCCTACAAGCAGTTAGAGAAAAGAAACAAATCACATACAAAGGAAAGCCCATTAGAATTACAGCAGACTTTTCAACCCAAACCCTCAAGTCAAGGAGAGCCTGGAGTGAGGTATTTCAAGCCCTAAAAGAAAACAACCTCCAACCTAGACTGATGTATCCTGCAAAACTATCTTTCAGAATTGATGGGGAAATAAGGTATTCCATGACAAAGAACACCTGAGAAACTTCATAAATACCAAACCAGCACTGCAAACAATTCTAAACACTATCCTAGAAAAAGACAATGAAGATCACAACTCCATAAGGCCCAACGGAATATATCCACCACGCAAGGAAAGAAATTAAAGGGAGAGGGTGAAAAATAAAGAAAAGCCAACATCAGGAAAATAACATGATATGGATAAGTCAATACACATCAGTTATAACCATCAATGTTAATGGCCTCAATTCACCAATCAAAAGAAATAGATTGGCAAATGGATTAAGAAGCAAAATCCAACAATATGCTATATACAAGAAAACACCTAGCTCAAAAAGAAATTCATAGACTGAAAATAAAAAGATGGAAAACAGTTCTCCACTCTACAGGAGCCTAGAAAAAAGCAGGAGTAGCTATTTTATTTGCAGACAAAGTAGATTTCAAACCAAAACTAATTAAGAGAGACAAAGAAGGTCACTATATCTTTGTAAAGGGAACAATCCAAGAGGAAGAGATGACAATCATAAATATATATACACCAAATACTAATGCCCCCAACTATACAAAACAAATATTAATGGACGTGAAAAAACAAATAAGCACTAATACAGTTGTATTGGGGGGAGCTCAATACCCCACTGTCACAAATAGACAGATCATCTAAAAAAAAATCAACGAAATACTAGAATGGAACCAAGCTTTTGAACAAATAGACTTAATAGATGTATACAGAGTATTCCACCCCACAAAATCAGAATATACATACTTTTTGGCTGTACACGGGTCATTCTCCAAAATAGACCACATGCTAGCTCGTAGAACATGTTTAATTAAATGCACAGCAATTGAAGTTATCTCCTGTATATTATCAGACCATAGTGGAATTAAACTGGAGATCAATAGCATAAGAAACTGCTGCAAGACCTTCACAAACACATGGAAATAGAATAACACTGTCCTAAACAACCAATGGGTCACAGAGGAAATTAAAGAAGAAATTAGACAGTTTCTACAGTTAAATGATAATGCCAATACAACATACAGGAATCTATGGGACACAATGAAAGCAGTTCCACAAGAGAAATTCATAGCAGTGAATGCCCATACTAGGAAAACAGAGCGAGCTCAAATAAACAACCTCATGTTGAACCTTAAGTTCCTAGAAAAAGAAGAGCAAGACAAACCCAAAGCTCATACAAGGGAGGAAATTATAAAGATCAGAGTCAATTATAAAGTCAATTATAAAGATCAGAAATCAATGCAATGGAGACTAAGAATGATACAAAAAAATCAACAAATCTCAGAGTTGGATTTTTGAAAGAATAAAATCAATAAACCCTTAGCCAACTGTGTCAAAAAAAAAAAAGGAAAGAAAAGGCTCAAATCCATGCAGTTAGGAACAAAAAAGGTGAAGTCACAACAGATCCAGCAGAAATCCAGAGGATCATCAATACCTACTTCAAAAACCTGTACTCTAATAAAATGGAAAACACAGAAGAAATGGACAGATTCCTAGATACATATGAATTACCAAAATTGAACAAAGAAGATATAAAAATTCTAAACACCCCAATTACAATCAGTGAAATTGAAAACAAAATTAAAAATTTACCAACAAAGAAAAGCCCGGGTCCTGATGGCTTCACTGCTGAATTCTGCAAGACATTTAGAGAACTATTGCCATACTCTTTAAACTTTTCAGTGAAATTGAAAGGGAAGTAATACTTACAAATTCATTCCTGGAAGCAAATGTTACTTTAATTCCAAAAGCAGAGAAAGACCCAATCAAAAAAGAGAACTACAGGCCCATCTCCCTAATGAACATGGATGCAAAAATCCTCAATAAGATAACTGGCAAACAATACAGAGGGTCATCAAGAAGATCATACACCCAAGAGAAGCTCAGCTGGGCCCAGCACCCGGAAGGAAGCTCCCCACCTCCATCCCAGGCTCCTAGGGCAGAGAAGCTCAGCTGGTCCCGCACCTGGAAGGAAGCTACCACCGCCATCCCAAGCTCCTAGGGCAGAGAAGCTGAGCCGGTCCCAGAACCTGGAAGGAAGCTCCCCCGCTGCCATCCCAAGCTCCTAGGGCAGAGAAGGTGAGCCACGTGG